CACCATTAAACACATAGTGCACACATGACGTACTCCCCCAGGACTTTAACTAGTTCCATGGCACTTTCAGAGATTTCCTAGTTGAAAAAAACATTGATCGGGGTTGCCTTTCCAAAAGGATTCAATGATTGCAATGAACGCAAAGTCGTGTTCCTAAGGAGTTTATTCCAATACTTACCCACAATCAATTAAATCCATTAAGACAACACAAAAACAATCCACTATTTCCCCTATCTAAGTAATAGCCCATGCGGATCTCTCTCTTAATAATCCTAAACCAAAGTGTCAAAACAAACATAGGATAATTGGGCCCACGGATTAATAATCCCAATCCCATGCTTTAATCCGTCCAATCAAAATGTGTAAAAAGTGTATATTGTGTGTGTAAATAGAAGCTCCCTGAAGCCTGTTGTTTGACAACTACTGCTGCTGGAGTGCCAAGTATTTATCTTCTAGAATTAATCATTATAGAACATGTTTATTCTTTATTTACTTGATGTAACATTATAAATTTTACTTTTTTTTATTAATTATAATATTTTAAAATATTACATAATCGTATTTAAGAATACCCAATATTAAAGGTATATATAGTGTGATTCGAACAGTTTTGAACATAAAATTATAAATCGAATTGTGGATTAGTAAATTGATAAATTACGATTTAAAGAGTTTAGGAAGTGAATTAAAAGATATTCTAATCAATTATCAACCCTTTATATAATATATAACACTAATTTACATAATACTTTACATATATAACATAAGTTAATTTTATATAATATTTTTTATATATGTAATTATTGACCTTTTTATTGTCAACATATTGATGATGGATGAATTATGCCATAAAATCATTGAGAACAAATTACAAGTAATCTCTATTGTTTGGGAATAATGTATAGGCATATTTATCAGCTTATTACGAATGCTATTCAGCATGTTTGGTTAGAGTTTTTCAAAAACTCTTTTTAGAAAATTTTACTTTCTTGTTTTCTGTATTTTTTTTACTAAATTTTTTAAATATTTTAAGCATTTTTTTTACTTTTTAAACATACCTAACATTAATATACCTAAAAAGTAAAAAAAATTGTCAAAAAAATCTTTTAAAAATTCACTAAATACTAAAAATACGAGAATTCAGTATAATTTTTGTATTTTTATGTATTTATTAATTTTTAAAATATTTTTTCACAATTTTTTTACTTTTTAAATATGTCTAAGTAAGATGCATCTAAAAAAGTAAAAAAAAAAAAGTTTTAAATTTTAAAAATATTTACTAAAAAAAAATTAAAAAAAAAAATACGAAAACCAAAAAACTCAATTTTCAAAAAATTTAATTCAAAAAACTCAAACCAAACACACTATTGTGACTTGTATAAGTTTGACTGCATATTCATTAATTTATTTTTTTTTAATATTTATATTCAAATTTAAAATGTGTGTTATAATTATGATAAAGATAAAATATATGCGCAATAATTATTAAGATGATCATGGCTTCTAGAATTGATAATTCGTTTTGAGAATCAGACAGTGTGGATTGAGACTACCTATTAGAACTTATTTATATTTACATCACAAAAATAACTCATTATGCTCATCAATTTGTATTTTATTTATTATTTATAGTTTCATTCTTGTTTAAAAAATTTAAAAGAGTATGGTGTTGTTTGGAATGCGAGTTGGGTTGGCTTTTTGGGTAAATTACAAAAAATAAAATAGAGAAGTCAATAAAATAAAGTATCATATTTAAATCATAATCATTTCACTTTTTCTCTCATAAAAATTAAAAAATCAAAAAAATCGAGGAGCTAAAATAGTCACTAAAAACAAAAAAAAAACAAAAAATAAAAAAAAAACCAACCTAACTTCTCAAACGAAGCCAATAAAATTCAAACTTTTCTTTATCTATCCATCCTCTTATAATCCATTCTTAACTTAACAACGTCAACTCGTTCCAGTCACTTCAAAACCTTCCCTCTAACCCATTGCATCTCCTCTCCAATCACGCAACCTATGACCCCTTCCTCTTACAACTCCTCTTGCATTAATTCTCTTCCCCGTTATTAGGGGTGTAATTTTGCCCGCGGCCCGCGGGCGGCCTAAAGCTCACCCACGGCCCGAGGTGGGCCCGGCCCGTTAAGACCCGTTTAGGCCCGAGCCCGAGCCCAGCCCGATGCCTAGGGCCTGGGCCTGGGCCATCGTTTTGAAGCCTGACCAGGCCCGCTTGGCCCGACCCATAGCCCGACCCCATTGGCCCACTCAAGGCCAGCCCAAAAGCCCGGCCCACCCGATGCCCAATGTTATTTTTAATGGAAAATAATAAATTTTTGGTGAAAAAATAAAAAAAAAATTAAAAATTTTGTTTAGGCTCGCCCAAGTCCGCCCGAGCCCGAGCCCAAGCCCAAGCCCAAAGGCCCGGCCCACTAGCCCGCCCAAAGCTTGAATACCCCTAGGTCTGGGCTAGGGCTTGGGCCTAGTTTTTTGGCCCGTGGGTCGGCCCGGCCCTGCCTGATTTTTGGCGGGAGCTCGCGAGGCCCGACATGGGTCGGGCCCGGCCTGAGCCAGGCCAAAATTTCACCCCTACCTGTTATGCACCCATTCCATCCCTCTTCTTTTTTGGCGCACACCCTACTCCTTTCCACCATTTTCAAAGAAAAAACATAAAGAAAGAAGTTCTATTTCGGTTACAAATGAGTCAAGATGAACCAAGCTTAAGCTTGAGCTTGCCTCATTTTTTTATCGAGTTCGTTTATTGAACTCGAACTCAGCTCGATACATAATTGGGTTCAAACTCAGCTCGACTCATTAAAATTAATGAAACTCGAGGTCGGTTTAGTTTGGCTTGATAAGTTTTTTTTAATATTATTTATATTATTTTAATAAAAAATATTATTTATATTATTTAATATATAAATAATATATTTATTATATAATTTAAATAAAGATAAACGAGCCATAGACGAGCCGAGTTTATTCAAGGTTGAGCTTAACTTGTTTACTAAATGAGCCTAATATTCGAACTCAAGTTCGACTAATTTACTAAACGGGCTGAGCCCTTAACGAGTCAAACAGAACCTGTTTGTGAACAACTTAATTCATCTGCAATCTTAATTCTATTGGGTGAGAGCAAGGGGAAGTAGGAGCCTGGGAAGGGCTGATGAACGGCTTTGAATTTTAAATTTATGAAGAAAAAATGTTTATTTATATTTTAATTTTTTGTATCTTTAAATTTCAAGATGCAGACCCTTAAGGTGTCATGGTTACTCCACAGCTTTACCTGACCAAACTTTTCTTCTTCTTCTTCTTCTTCTTCTTTTTTTTTTTTGGTTTTGATTTATTTTTGATTTATTTAAATTTATTCCGTGCACACGTTGATATAATGTACAAAAACAACAGAGAATAATAAAATGATAACAAACGACCCTTTCTTACAAATAATGCGAAAGTGCTGGATGTGTATTATTTTGGAAAATAATTCATATAAAAATTTATTCAGAAAATACATTTTGACAAGGAAGTGGTATTCTTATAGTTATAAGGTTTTGAATAATGCTATGTACATTAATTAATATCTCAATTAGTGTACTAACAGATGATCTGATATAAATTTAAAGATTGTGGGTTTTTATAATTTGTATAATAGGTGGAGTCAAAGTTTTGAAATAATAATGTCATAATATATATTAGTACACTAATTAATATAACAATTGATACGTGTAGCACCACCGTAACGTTTTTGCACAAAATGAAACAATCGTAAAAAGTTATAATTCCCACATTATACATTGTAATATAGTACTTTATTTATGAAGTAAGTTTTGCATTTGTGGGTGTAATGAGATATTGAGTATAACTACAAGTTCTGAAGTTATTTTTGTATAGATATTTTGTGGGAAGTTTCGTATAGATATTTGTATATTTTGCATCCCTTTCCATATCATTATCAACCATAATATTTGCCGAATATCCCATCTGAGTATTTATTATTAATAGAATTTTTTATTTTTTATTTTTGGCAGGGAAAAGAAACTCCTACTAAACTAAATTTGATCTTACTTGTTAGTAATCAATTTTTTTGCTAGTGGGGTAGGTGGTGGGTGCACTTATATTTTAATTTTTTTTGTAATTTTATCCTTAATGATAATTGCGTTCAAAGGTAAAATTGTAATAAAAATTTAATTTTTATTAAGTGAATTTAAGAGTACTATGTGTGCAACTTGCAACTCCCCTCCTAACAACAATAAGTACATCCATGAAAGCAAAATATCAAAGGACTTGTAGAATATTGATTGCCGTGACATTTCCAAGGACGTTAGTTAGGGTAAAGATTTTATTCTTAAACGAACTATCTTGTTGATTACTAATTGGCTAGTGCAATAGCCCAATTCTAAGACTAGCCAATCAATGCTAGACATGTTAGTTAATTTCAAGTTAGCCGTAGCGTTGTTCCATTGTTGTTAATTGGGATCAACAAAAAAAAATAAAAAGGAAGAAATTGACTTTTGAAGACATGGATAGAGGAAAAAATAACTAAATGTGTACTCAATTTTGTAGATCAAAAGCATAATATTTAAAGTACTTTCTAAATAAGAGATTCATAAGTTGTTTGGACAATACTGTTTGTAGGACCAAGCTCAAATCTCAATTGACTGACATCCCCATAGGCTCGACCAAAACGAATCTTTCAATACAAAAACATTCATACATAAATTTGATATAATATCTTAGCTAGGAACATTTGGAAGAAAGTAAAATAAAATAAATCAATTTTTTTTTTATTTGCCTACAAACAACTCATGGGTTGAACGATGCCTGAAGAGGTTCCTCTGGCATTGGCACATGATGCTTTAGCTGGTTGATTCTTGTAAGTGAGCTTTACATCCTCTAATCTTATCCCACTACATGAATGCACCTTGCTACAAAGAAATTTCACCGCAACTTCTGTTGCTGATGTTCCATGAATATCACTATATGTAATATCGCTAATTTTTACACCCGAAATCTGCTTTTCCAAAAAAAAAAAAAATGATAATGGAAAGAAAAGAGTAAGATTTATAGTCAGTTTGAGAACCCATGAAAGAAAAGAAAAATAAACCCATGAGAGAAAAGAAAAGTGTAAGTTGTTACTAGCTAATTCAAGTAAAATTTATTCTAATGTATGAGACCATATAGCATACCTGACCAGGGCAACCTTTGTTGTTGGGGCACTAATTTTGGTCAATAACAATGGGATTTTGGACATTAACCATTTTTTTAATTTTTTTATCGGTAAAAGAAAATTTTATTGATAAACCACATATAGATTACATATGATAGATAAATATCAATAAAAAAGAGCTTGAAGCTAGAAAAAGCTCCAACCTCCTAGTTGGTGAGAGACCAACAACCAAAAAAACCATAAAAAAACACCAGCACCCAAGCACCACATTGCATGTTGGAAAAGAACTCCCCTAACAAATCCATTGCTGGGTCTGCCCCAAGTCTTTGTCCTGACTCCATTTTCTGTACTCCCAATGCTGCACACACATGGCATGCCATGTCATAACCACATCAATGGAATACTAGCTAACAACAGAGAATTAACAGTTGGCACATATGATACTTATGCAATTTAAATAAATAAAAATAAAATAAAATATTTATTTATTTAAATAAAATCTAAGACTTGAAGCTTACTCTTCTCATTTATCTAATTTTTTTTTTTTAAATTGAAAAATAAGGGACACGTAATATTAGAATAAGCAAATAAAAGCTTGGACACCAAATTCAGCTTTTACTATAAGAGTTTAGGTAAATAATGTTTTCACATTTTGAAGTGTTTCCTATAATAGAAAATGTTTTTATTTTTATTTTTATGGTCAACAAACAATAACTTTAATTTAATAAAAAATAGTTTTTACTTTTAACATGTGAAAAAGATAAGTTTTACCACCTCTACTTCTACCATCTCACTACTAATACTACCGTCACCACCTTACCATCACCAACACATAAATTTCAAAGGTAGCATCCAAATATAAGAAAACATTTTATGAAAAATAATTTGCGCAAATTACACCTATAGTCATTGCATTTTGTCATTTTTGTTTTTACACTTTTATTTAGGCTAAATTTTGACCATTAATTTTGAATTTTGTGTAATTAAGTCTAATTGATAACGTCAGTTAAAGATTTTGATGAAAATAGTTACTAAATTAGTTGAGGTTAATTCACTAACTCAAGTAAGTTTATAATTTCGCTCTTAAAATGTATGGCTCATGTATGTAATTTTATAGAAGACACCAATTGGCCTAATCAATTAGACCAAATCATAAATTTCAATATCAAAATCGAGCTAATTGATAAGAACAAAAGGACTGAGTATATGAGCTACAAATATAATTATTTAAAAAAAATAGTTTTAATAGAAAATATTTTAAGTTGAAAGAAATAAATTGTAAATAATAAAAAAATAAAAAATAAAATTATATTTGGTACCTGATACCATGGCCAGGACCACAAGCCACATTCTCAATCCATAAGTTAGTATTGCCAGCACCGATGGACACACAATCATCTCCTGTGCTGATCTTGGAGTTTAAGATGGTGACACCCGATGATAATTGCACGTGAATACCGTCCGTGTTAGAGCTATTGCCTGAGGCTGGGACTTTCACTCCTTGTAGCTTCACGTTGTCGCAGCCATTGATCACTATGTGAAACAATTGACTGTTTATTGAAGTCAGTCCGCTGATTAAGATGTTGTTTGAGTTTGTAAAACTCAGTGTCTGCATATATATTGTGAATTAGTTAGTCACTATTTTTTAAACACAAATATTATGAATTTATGTAATTATGATTATTGAATTAATCTTTTTTTTTTTAATGAGTTAACAATCTACGAATTGTAATATAAGATGAACAATTCTCATTATCAAAAGAGGGTTCACGTTGTCATTGCTTGATCCCTGAGTTTAAGGTGCTGTTGTCAGTAAATCATAACATAGCTAGCGTTTGGTTTAAAACTTAAATAATGATTTGGATAAAAAAATTTCAAAATTCATAATCAAACATACAATTTAAAAACTCGTTTGTGATTAAATATTTTAGTTGAAAAATCAAAAAATAATTATAAATTGTTATACTATTCTCTCTATTTTTTCATATATATATTTTCATACAAAATCAAAAAATACATTTTTTTTTACAAAATTAAAAAATTATTAAAATAATATTTCCAAACGAGACGTAAGCATGTTTGGTAATTGGCTAAAATAAAGTCAATCTATTCTTCTTATCTTGTGCATGATTTTTTTATAAAAATTAAAAAAAAAAATGGACTAAAACTATCAATTCCCAAACCAACCCTTAACCTACCGTGGCTCCATCGGGGCAAGTCTTGCCAGAAGCCTTGCAAGCCCAAAGGGAAGCCCCCTGTCCATCAAGCATTCCACCAGCTATAGACACTCCATTGACTCCCTCGAACAGAAGCCAGTTTCCGGCATTTCCTAAAACATTGTAATTGGACGGAGCGACGAGCGTCCCATCAATACGAATAGTGATAGCACTGGTTTTGCATAGCCCTCCAAAGTTTGCTGGTCTGCCAATCAAGTACCTTCCTGGCGGCACGTAAATTGTGGCTGGCTGTGCCGAACCACAGGCTAATGCCCATGCACTCAGGAAGGACTTGGTTGAGTCAGTCTTGCCGTCGGGCTTGGCCCCCAAATTCAATACACTATACGTTATTGGAAGAGTTGATGATGATGATTGATGGAAGAAGAAGATGGTGAAGAGAAATGTGAGCACTATAAGAGATTTCATCATGGTGGAGTATAGAGAGAGACGAGTTTAGGAGTTGAAGAAGTTTTGAATTAGTTGAGAGGCATTTATAGAGGATATGAATGCACGTTCTCGTAACTGCAAAAAAAAAAATAAGGGAAAAAAAGAATGGTAGAGGCGCCGAAACTGGAAAATCACAATACGTTGCCTTTTGTTGCCTTTTTTAGGTCATGCGTATCTTATTGGGACTAATCTTCCATTTATGATAAGGACAGTAATAAAAAAAAAAAAAAAAACACAATAAAAATGATGCGTAATGATATTCCGGAAATGATCAAAATAACGGTAGACGTTTTTTTTTTTTTAATTGGAAATAAAACACATTATTCTTTATAAAAATTCTATATAAAGTTATCAAAATAATATCTAATTTAGGTATATAAAAAAATAAATAGATAGGGTTCATAAAATTTTCAATATTGTAACAATGTTCACACCAAATAAGATGTTGATATTACATGATAAAGAAGATAAGAAAGCTTAGCAGTAGGCAGTTACTAAGTGAGTGTTTGGGAAGTGAGCTTTTATGTAGGTTTATTTAGTTGTAGGATATTATTGAAAAAAAAAAATTTGTGTTTGGAAAGATAATTGAGTTTTTATGTGGTTGGATGTGATATTTGTGAGAGAAAAAGTGAGATGATTATGAAGTTAAATGTGATATTTTGTTTGAATGTATTTTTTTTAGTTTTACAAAAAATTTGTCTTTTTGTGGAAAAAAAAAACCCAAGTTTCAAATTTGTCTTTTTGCAAAAGACACAAGATTTGTGAATGAACAGCAAAAGGAGCAGATGCACGTTGGTGGCATTTACATGAGAGATAGGAGATCTTCAAAGTCCAAAGTTCAGTTAAAGCCTAGTCTGGTAACTTTTTAGTTTAAAAATCAAAAAATTAATAAAAAAAATTAAAAAATCATCAAATTATATAAAAAAGATTAAAATTCTATTTTCTCTTTATTTTTTCATAAAATCATTCCAAATATGTTAATTTTTTTACTTCATATTTTAACTAAAAATAAAAAATTTATTAAAATAACATGTTTATATTGCTGACATCAGCAAAATCTGTTAGTTGACTTAACAGTCAACTAATTAAGGGAACAATCTGTAATGAAATTTTAAACTTCAAAGAGGGAGATGTAATTTTTAAAAGGTAAAAAAAAAATTATAATAAATACAAGCCTCAGGAATTGTCAATGTAATTTACCGTTTTTTTTTTTTTTTGGTGGAAAGTTAATTGCGTTCATACCGTTCAAAGGTAACATATTAATAGCAATTCCATAAGAGACAACGCGTTTTAGAAAATAGTGCTAGAGTGACTCGTAGGTGTCCATACAAAACAACCCATAGAAGCAACACACCAGCCTACCTCTTAAATTCGATGGCGACGTGTTAACATTTCAGGCCATAATCTCGATAATTATTGGTTGGTCTTTAAGGACCGTTACGTTACATGTGATACCTCAATAATATAGTATTATGATTTGTAGACAGAATGACGTTTTAGAAAATTAGTAGAAAGTTAACATTTTAACAGTTACTTATTTTTGTGACTTTCTTTTTTTTGTATAAAAAAGTTAAAAAATTAACTTTTTAAAAAAGTTTCCAAAACACCCAATAGTAAAATATATTAATTCGTATTAAATGATTATGAAATACAAGAAGATATAATAAATTATAATTGGTGTAGAATATGATTATATGGCATATAAAACCAATCAATAATTTTTTTTCATAATCTCACAAGTTGCATTTCAGAGTTGGTTATTATTATTAAGAATAAAATATTTTTATTATGATGGACTTTTATTTTTTTTTTTGACCATAATTATTATGATGGACCTGGTAACTGGAAAATGAAAAGTAAAAGGAATAGTTGTGAAGATATACGTAACGTAGGCGTAGAGTCAAATTGAATTTCACTGTCATGAAAGAAGAGCAAGTGGCCAAGTAGAGGTAGAGCCCCAAACACCCACCAAGCAAACTCCAAAAGCAACGATTCCCCAAATGCCTCAAAATAACACAACTCACCGATCCTTTCGAGGAATTTCTGTCTCTTTCTTTCAAACCCCTTTTCATCTCTCTCTCTCTCTCTCTCTCTCTGTCTCTCTCTCTCTACAATTCCCATTCCTTTTCTTCTTCACGTCAAATTTCAGATAATTTCATCAACTAATTTATTTATAATTGTTTAATTTTTTTTCTTTTTTCACGTTAGACTGTCTGAAATCATGAAGAATTGCAATTCCAGTTTATTTATTAATTACAATTTTTAATTTTTGATGTCAATGTTGTATTCTGTTATCTGTGTGCTTAGATTTTTGTAGCATGTACGTTCTGATTTTTGGATTTTATTTGTTGAATTTTCTGTGCTTTTCCATATAAACAAGTAAATAACTCAAATAAAATAATCATTCCAACGAAATCTATGTATTCCTCTGTATTGGTTTGCTATGTGGTGTGGTTTTACTGTGTTAATGGGTGGGTGATGATTTAAGCGTCTTTTTTTTGGAGGGTTTTCGTGGGTTGATGCTTGTTGGTTAATGCTTGTCTTTTAGGTGCTAATCAAATTTGATTAGTAGTAACGTCTCACCAATTTTGGAATCAAAAATTAATATTACAAGCACTCATTGAATAACTTTTATATTTTAATGGGATTATCAAGTGATATGACTTTTTGTGAGTCCAAAACATTTTCTATTTGATCAGTAAGGTTAATAATGAGGGGATTTATATTTAAGAGATTAATATATGATTGATTGTCCAATTAGACTAATGAGATAAATAAGTATATCCTATCCACGTTTGTTTTGCAATGAATATGAAAATATATCATTTCAATCATATCTTTATTTTGCATTATTAGTTGTAGGTTTAATCAAAATCTTATCTCAATAACAAAAATTATAACTAAACAATGGAATATTGGTGTAATGGATTAATAATCTCAATCATATTATATAATTTGCCCACAAAAACAAATTAAAGTTTTAGAGATAAAAATATACCTTTTAGAGACAAAATATTGTTGTTCCCAAAAGTTTCATTATTATATTTCGAGTAGTGCTACATCTCCCTAATTTTGTCCTTCCAATTCCACCTATAATGACATGGCTCACCCCTATGTGAAATGGTCCTACACTCCTCTCTCTCTCTCTGTCTCTCTCTCTTATCTTTAGTCTTCCTAATTCTACATTATTGAGGGTGGAATTAGGGGAGCAAAGTTTAGGGGGCAAATCATTATTCTTATAGTGTTAGTTACAAAATTAGACATTTAATGATGAACTACTAGATCCATTTGGGATTTTTTTTAAAAAAATTGTCTCAAAAAATAAATCTTTTTAGAACTAAATTATTTATTAGTGATATTTTTACAATTTAATTGGTAAAACTGACGTAGTGTTTAGTAGAATTTTAGAATTATGATTTGATAATAGAGTTGTATTTTAAGTATGTGAGTTTTGGAATTATGATTTGAGTGTAAAAAATTTGTTTGGTTATGAGTTTTGAATTGAGTTTGAAATTTTTGATGTGACATATGATATTTGATTTAAAAACTTACAATTCATAACCAAATACATAACTCAAAATTCTATTCAAAGCTTATAAAAAAAATTTAAAAAAAATTGAAAATATTTTTTATTTAACATATAAAAATAACAAGTGCTGAAAAAAAAAAATGTTTTGGTCGGCTGGTCGGACATCTGGAAGGACATCGGACCGGGTAGACTTGTTTTTAAAAATAAGTGTGAAATCAATTTTTGAAAATTCTAACCAAACACCGCACTTAAAGTAAGGTGTGGAATTACGTTTCAAAAACATAACCAAACACAATTATTTTTTTGACTTTTGAAAATAACCTTTTAGCGACTAGTTTCACGACACTAAGAATTGAACTAATGTTTTTTACAACAAAATTTTCAAATTTAGAGATTAAACTTTGGGTCCTAAAATTCTTGTTTGTTGTAGTACCTTTTGAATATTATTTTCAATTAATCCAAAAATTAATTGAATGCTTTTCAAATATCTATACTTACTATATATGTTATAACCAACTCTTAAATTGGCGTAGACATGACATAATTTTTTTGGAAAAATGTCTCGTAACTCAAATTTTATGGCTCAAAAGTGACTCAAATGGCCAAAACGACGTCGTTTTGGCCATTTTTATGTTGTTCTGTACTCAAAACGACGTCGTTTTGGCCATTTGAGCCACTTTTGAGCCACAAAATTTAAGCTACGTAGCATTATCAATTTTTTTGGCCCAAAACACCTTTCAACATGTAATTATTATCTAATTATTTTAAATAATTGTGATTATCAAATTTAATTGTTGCATGTTTAATTTATTTTAGGTGACTTTGTGTCCATTTCTAGGTGTATAAAGCAGAAGAAAAGTGGACCTGAGGGGTAGGAGGAAGCTATAATCCTATACTGTTGCCGGTTTATACGGTTTTCTCTTCCTTTTTTCACGTGGCATAATAAACTCCATTAATTATGTATGTATTATTATAGATAATAATAAATTAATTAATACACATTTATAAAGGCAGGTCTATTCCTTCTCTCTGATTTAATTCTGAATACATTCTGTTCACATGATGGGCAATAATCCTCTCCTTTGCAAGTTCTCCGGTTACACCAAACAATGTCATTTAATTCAACCGTTACATTACATGCCTCAATATAGGAGTAGAAATTACTTATATAAGTGATATCACTAATTACTAATAAATCCACAACTAAGGGAGTCAACTCCCAATTGAAATATACCTATTCACTCCAACGTCATTATTATAGGTAACCGTCATATATATAAGAATTAATCATACTTGCATGATAATGTGATATCTATGTCAGTGATTGTGTTAATTTTTATTTATTTTTTTCTTTCAAAAATAGGCACGGAAACTTTTAATCCCATGATATAGTAAGAATTTTAATTTTCTTTTGTTAAGAAATGGTAGAAATTCAAAATTAAACTTACAAATTCTTGCTGATATAGTAAAGAAGATAGGCCTTATATCATTAG